TTTTTGTGTCATTTTGACAAAGCGTACAGGCGTGACAGTGAATAGTGTGAATTTTCACCTTAGGGGGCGCTATGGAGCCATTTTGCATTTTCTTGTTTGGGCGACTTCGGAATATCAAATTTTTCACCAGGCCCGGTCGTCCTGCCAAATTTCATGAGTTTTCGCCAGTGGGAAGTGGGCCATTTTCCAGTTCAAAGGGGAGGAAAAATAATAATAACAAAAGAAGGAAACTACAGGAACAAGAGGGCTCTCGCAGCTGCTTAGCAGCTACGCTCGGGCCCTAATAATAACAAACTAGGGCCCCGGTGGGGCACTGTCGGGCCCGAGCCGCGTCGTGCCGCCCCCAGCGTGACCGCCTCCCCCTCCCGATCGCGTCACACTCAAGGTCCAAAGATGGTGTGCGCACTTGTCTGTGGTCATTTCCCATTATAATGAATGGGAGGCGCAGTTTCTACCAAAACACTCGCTGCAGACAAACTTCATGTCCTATTTGAAAAAAGTCTGGACCATGAGTGAGGGCACAAACACAGCTGGGATATATCCAAATGGCAGGTTGCTCCTCGTTACGGTGTTGCCTGGAGAGCGATGCGATTGAGCCATTGAGCGATGGGCAGGAAAAACTTGACTTTTTCTCCTGCCATGGGGGGGGAGAATGTGGATTCTTTTAAGAATGTGGATTTTTTGGTTATCTTTGGCGCCCCCTAGAACGTAAACCGTGGGGTGCAGCGTCATGATTTTTACAACTTTGAATGGCCATGGGGTGTAGATTGGCCTGAGCAAATTTGGTTTCAGTGGGACGAAAGCCTTAGGAGGAGTTAGCCACATTCCAATGTGTGCGAATCGACAAAAAATGCAAAATAGCCCTCTAACCGTACATTTGACAGATACGCACCCACTGACTTTTTCGTAGATCTTATTGAGATACACGTGATTGTCAAATTTTGTGTCAATATGACAAAGCGTACAGGTGTCACACTCAACAATGTGAATTTTCACCTTACGGGACAAGAAAAAATTGACTTTTTTCTCCTGCCATGGGGGGGCGCTCTTTTGGGGAGTAAAAATTCCTTCACAAATGTGTTGATGGCTGGACATTGCATCATCCTAGAAAACTTGGAGGCCAGTGAGGACAAAAATAAAAAGTTATAAGACTTTGAAATATGTGGATTTTAGGGTTATCTTTGGCGCCCCCTAGAACCTAAACCGTGGGGTGCAGCGTCATGATTTGAATAACTTTTAATGGCCATGGGGTGTAGATTGGCCTGAGCAAATGTGGTGCCGGTGGAACGCCAGCCTTAGGAGGAGTTAGCGAAATTCCAATGTGTGCGGATCGGCAAAAAATGCGGAATAACCCTTTAACCGTACATTTGACAGATACGCGCGCATTGACTTTTTCGTAGATCTTATTGAGATACATGTGTGTGTCAAATTTTGTGTCAATATGACAAAGCGTACAGGCGTGACACTCAACAATGTGTATTTTCACCTTAGGGGACAAGAAAAAATGGACTTTTTTCTCCGGCCATGGGGGGGCGCTCTTTTGGGGAGTAAAAATTCCTTCACAAATGTGTTGATGGCTGGATATTGCATCATCCTAGAAAACTTGGAGGCCAGTGAGGGCAAAAATAAAAAGTTATAAGACTTTTAAATATGTGGATTTTAGGGTTACCTTTGGCGCCCCCTAGAACCTAAACCGTGGGGTGCAGCGTCATGATTTGAATAACTTTTAATGGCCATGGGGTGTAGATTGGCCTGAGCAAATGTGGTGCCGGTGGAAAGAAAGCCTTCGGAGGAGTTAGCGAAATTCCAATGTGTGCGGATCGGCAAAAAATGCGTAATAACCCTTTAACCGTACATTTGACAGATACGCCCGCACTGACTTTTTTGTAGATCTTATTGAGATACATATGTGTGTCAATTTTTGTGTCATTTTGACAAAGCGTAAAGGCGTGACAGTCAATAGTGTGAATTTTCACCTTAGGGGGCGCTATGGAGCCATTTTGCATTTTCTTGTTTGGGCGACTTCGGAATATCAAATTTTTCACCAGGCCCGGTCATCCTGCCAAATTTCATGAGTTTTCGCCAGTGGGAAGTGGGCCATTTTCCAGTTCAAAGGGGAGGAAAAAGAAGAAAGAAAGAAACAAAGAAAAACCACTTGGGGAATAATAGGGCTCTCGCAGCTGCTTAGCAGCTACGCTCGGGCCCTAACTAGGACCCCGTTGGGGCACTGGCGGGCCCGAGCCGTGTCGCGTCCCCCCCCAACGTGCTGCCTCCCCGTCCCATTTGTGTCCTCTGGCCATCGCCCTCTCTGGTAACGCCCATCACTGCAAAGACCCTTTTCCTTCATCGGCGTTTGCTGTTCTTCCTGCCAGTGCGTGTTGCTTTCACTTACACTTGCCACAGCCAGCCTCGTGAGTGCCTAGCCTATTGGATATCACTGTCACCTACACAGGACAGTCATTACCTTTCTATTAATACTTTGTGTTTTAATTTCACATTAATTTCCATATTGTATAAACGACTGGAAAAAACTTGAGCCCCTGCCCCTGTATAATCATGTGCATGTCTCTGTTCTAGCTCCAAGGTGAATCTTCACTGCTCATGTTCTCCTCAGAAGCACTCACCTCACTCCCCTCAGGTTACTGTACACATGCACCAACTGCCTGCTTCAGGTTTGGATGGAGCTTCATGGTTGTCTTTTGGAGAAATGACCAGTCAAGTTGTGTTTGAAATTTGATTTTTTTCAGGGGCAAAAGGAGCCTCTGCATTCTTGTCAAATATGTAAATAGCATGTTTTTGCAGGTGCTAAAAACCAGACTCTGAGTGTGTGTGTGTGTGTGTGTGTGTGTGTGTGTGTGTGTGCGTGTGTGTGTCTGTGTGTGCGTTCAAGTCACATGACATATTTAACCGGATGTAGCTGCAAGACGGAGCCTCGTTGACTCTCCGTTTCAACTTATCTCAAAAGTGAGGACCTCAACCTATATACCAGTTTTTAAATTGTGTTGATAGGCCAAATAAAACCAGAGTTATTAGGGCCCGAGCGTAGCTGCTAAGCAGCTGCGAGAGCCCTCTTGTTCCTGTAGTTTCCTTCTTTTGTTATTATTAGGGCCCGAGCGTAGCTGCTAAGCAGCTGCGAGAGCCCTATTATTCCCCAAGGGGTTTTTCTTTGTTTCTTTTTTCTTTTTCCTCCCCTTTGAACTGGAAAATGGCCCACTTCCCACTGGCGAAAACTCATGAAATTTGGCAGGACGACCGGGCCTGGTGAAAAATTTGATATTCCGAAGTCGCCCAAACAAGAAAATGCAAAATGGCTCCATAGCGCCCCCTAAGGTGAAAATTCACACTATTGAGTGTCACGCCTGTACGCTTTGTCAAAATGACACAAAATTTGACACACACATGTATCTCAATAAGATCTACAAAAAAGTCAGTGCGGGCGTATCTGTCAAATGTACGGTTAAAGGGTTATTTCGCATTTTTTGCCGATCCGCACACATTGGAATTTCGCTAACTCCTTTGAAGGCTTTCGTTCCACCGGCACCACATTTGCTCAGGCCAATCTACACCCCATGGCCATTAAAAGTTATTCAAATCATGACGCTGCACCCCACGGTTTAGGTTCTAGGGGGCGCCAAAGATAACCCTAAAATCCACATATTTAAAAGTCTTATAACTTTTTATTTTTGCCCTCACTGGCCTCCAAGTTTTCTAGGATGATGCAATGTCCAGCCATCAACACATTTGTGAAGGAATTTTTACTCCCCAAAAGAGCGCCCCCCCATGGCAGGAGAAAAAAGTCCATTTTTTCTTGTCCCCTAAGGTGAAAATACACATTGTTGAGTGTCACGCCTGTACGCTTTGTCAAAATGACACAAAAATTGACACACACATGTATCTCAATAAGATCTACAAAAAAGTCCATGCGCGCGTATCTGTCAAATGTACGGTTAAAGGGTTATTCCGCATTTTTTGCCGATTCGCACACATTGGAATTTCGCTAACTCCTCCGAAGGCTTTCGTTCCACCGGCACCACATTTGCTCAGGCCAATCTACACCCCATGGCCATTAAAAGTTATTCAAATCATGACGCTGCACCCCACGGTTTACGTTCTAGGGGGCGCCAAAGATAACCCAAAAATCCACATTTTTAAAAGTCTTATAACTTTTTATTTTTGTCCTCACTGGCCTCCAAGTTTTCTAGGATGATGCAATGTCCAGCCATCAACACATTTGTGAAGGAATTTTTACTCCCTAAAAGAGCGCCCCCCCATGGCAGGAGAAAAAAGTCCATTTTTTCTTGTCCCCTAAGGTGAAAATACACATTGTTGACTGTCACGCCTGTACGCTTTGGCAAAATGACACAAAAATTGACAATCATGTGTATCTCAATTAGATCTACGAAAAAGTCAAAGAGCGCGTATCTGTATAATGTACGGTAAAAGGGCTATTTTGCATTTTTTGCCGATTCGCACACATTGGAATTTCGCTAACTCCTCCTAAGGCTTTCGTCCCACTGACACCAAATTTGCTCAGGCCAATCTACACTCCATGGCCATTCAAAGTTGTAAAAATCATGACGCTGCACCCCACGGTTTACGTTTTAGGGGGCGCCAAAGATGACCCAAATATACATTACAGTAGACAAAGTAGTTTTGCCCACTGAGTGGCGCCAAAGGGACTTGTCTGTGGAGTCTGTGAGTCACTATTGGCCGTTTTTGACTACTTTAGATTTTACCTTTATATTTCCTCTTACAAAATTTTTACCTTGCCTTGCCTGGTATCATTTTTTTCAGCACAACCTCACCTGTGTCAATTTACAGTTATTTTATCATTTTGACATACTATATTTACACATTGGACCCAAATTCACACACAAAACATAAAATCCGAGTGGAAAAAAGTAACGTTTTTACTGTGAAAACCACAAATATGTGTGATGAACTGTTTTTAAAACTTAAACTTCAAATAAAAATTGTAAACTTCAAAACATATGCAAATTTTTAACAAAGAACATAGTAATTTACCTCTATTTACATCAAAATGCAGGCAATGGCCCAGGTGTTCTTTGTAAAATTATTTACAAAACACTGTATAGTCTCACAAATGTCACTTTTTATTTATGCCACTACAAAAAAACATGATGTAAATGATGCATGATGTAAAACATGATGTAAAAAACTTGTGTAGATCCTCCTCTATGTTAGTCCATGTGTAATTTTTCCATAATTCTTTGTTTTTTGCAGCATTTTTGTTAGTGTAACTGCAGATTGTGCTGACAGTGTCTATGGCAAAAAAAAAAAAAAAACTGAAAATGCCTCAACATGAACCCCTGGTGGTCTCTGAGGGTGAAACCTGCTAACTGCTGCAGCTCTGTCAGCTTCAGTCTCCCATGCAGAGCTCGGAGCGCATGTGTGGCTCTGCACCCTTAGCAGCGTTGCTAACTCCTCAGTAAGGAAAGCCTGCTTCATGTCAGAGTCTCTAAACTCCAGAAGAAGTCGATAAAAGTCACTTTCTTTCTAAAAAAAAAGTCGTTAGGGGGTCTGAAAAGTCATTGAATCTAACAACAAAGTCGCTAGGTTTGGAACTACGTGTCCCAGACTGCATCCCTGCTGAGAGTCCCTCCCTCCCTTCTCATATTGCAGGAAGAACGTAAGCGCCCGCCCCTTGTCAATCAGTCACCATATAATTTTGGATTGGTTGTTGTGGTGAAGTTTTCCACCAATAGGAGAGATGTTGTGGTGTGTTTTTTTTTTCCTTTGGCAAGCCTTTTCCGCCTGTAAGACCTGTCGCTAATGTCTGCATGCTATGTTTTCCTGTCTCATACAGCGCGATCGAGCGCCGAACGTGATCAAAATAAGCAGAAAACAAGTATCGCGGACATAATTTATCATAACTCTGGTTTTATTTGGCCTATCAACACAATTTAAAAACTGGTATATAGGTTGAGGTCCTCATTTTTGAGATAAGTTGAAACGGAGTCAACGAGGCTCCGTCTTGCAGCTACATCCGGTTAAATATGTCATGTGACTTGAACGCACACACACACACACACACACACACACACACAGACACACACACACACGCACACACACACACTCAGAGTCTGGTTTTTAGCACCTGCAAAAACATGCTATTTACATATTTGACAAGAATGCAGAGGCTCCTTTTGCCCCTGAAAAAAATCAAATTTCAAACACAACTTGACTGGTCATTTCTCCAAAAGACAACCATGAAGCTCCATCCAAACCTGAAGCAGGCAGTTGGTGCATGTGTACAGTAACCTGAGGGGAGTGAGGTGACTGCTTCTGAGGAGAACATGAGCAGTGAAGATTCACCTTAGAGCTAGAACAGAGACGTGCACATGATTATACAGGGGCAGGGGCTCAAGTTTTTTCCAGTTGTTTATACAATATGGAAATTAATGTGAAATTAAAAAACAAAGTATTAATAGAAAGGTAATGACTGTCCTGAGTAGGTGACAGTGATATCCAATAGGCTAGGCACTCAAGGGGCTGGCTGTGGCAAGTGTAAGTGAAAGCAACACGCACTGGCAGGAAGAACAGCAAACGCCGATGAAGGAAAAGGGTCTTTGCAGTGATGGGCGTTACCAGAGAGGGCGATGGCCAGAGGACACAAATGGGACGGGGAGGCAGCGCGTTGGGGGGGGGACGCGACACAGCTCGGGCCCGCCAGTGCCCCAACGGGGTCCTAGTTATTATTATTTTTCCTCCCCTTTGAACTGGAAAATGGCCCACTTCCCACTGGCGAAAACTCATGAAATTTGGCAGGATGACCGGGCCTGGTGAAAAATTTGATATTCCGAAGTCGCCCAAACAAGAAAATGCAAAATGGCTCCAAAGCGCCCCCTAAGGTGAAAATTCACACTATTCACTGTCACGCCGGTACGCTTTGTCAAAATGACACAAAAATTGACACACACATGTATCTCAATAAGATCTACAAAAAAGTCAGTGCGGGCGTATCTGTCAAATGTACGGTTAAAGGGTTATTTCGCATTTTTTGCCGATCCGCACACATTGGAATTTCGCTAACTCCTCCGAAGGCTTTCGTTCCACCGGCACCACATTTGCTCAGGCCAATCTACACCCCATGGCCATTAAAAGTTATTCAAATCATGACGCTGCACCCCACGGTTTAGGTTCTAGGGGGCGCCAAAGATAACCCTAAGATCCACATATTTAAAAGTCTTATAACTTTTTATTTTTGCCCTCACTGGCCTCCAAGTTTTCTAGGATGATGCAATGTCCAGCCATCAACACATTTGTGAAGGAATTTTTACTCCCCAAAAGAGCGCCCCCCCATGGCAGGAGAAAAAAGTCCATTTTTTTCTTGTCCCCTAAGGTGAAAATACACATTGTTGAGTGTAACACCTGTACGCTTTGGCAAAATGACACAAAAATTGACACACACATGTATCTCAATAAGATCTACGAAAAAGTCAATGCGCGCGTATCTGTCAAATGTACGGTTAAAGGGTTATTCCGCATTTTTTGCCGATCCGCACACATTGGAATTTCGCTAACTCCTCCGAAGGCTTTCGTTCCACCGGCACCACATTTGCTCAGGCCAATCTACACCCCATGGCCATTAAAAGTTATTCAAATCATGACGCTGCACCCCACGGTTTAGGTTCTAGGGGGAGCCAAAGATAACCGTAAAATCCACATATTTAAAAGTCTTATAACTTTTTATTTTTGTCCCCACTGGCCTCCAAGTTTTCTAGGATGATGCAATGTCCAGCCATCAACACATTTGTGAAGGAATTTTTACTCGGCAAAAGAGCGCCCCCCATGGCAGGAGAAAAAAGTCAATTTTTTCTTGTCCACTAAGGTGAAAATACACATTGTTGAGTGCTACGCCTGTATGTTTTGTCGTATTGACACAAAATTTTACATACACGTGTATTTACATAAGATCTTCGAAAAAGTCAATGGCCACGTATCTGTAAAATGTACGGTTAAAGGGTTATTTCGCATTTTTTGCAGATTCGCACACATTGGAATTTCGCTAATTCCTCCGAAGGCTTTCGTTCCACCGGCACCACATTTGCTCAGGCCAATCTACACCCCATGGCCATTAAAAGTTATTCAAATCATGACGCTGCACCCCACGGTTTAGGTTCTAGGGGGCGCCAAATATAACCCTAAAATCCACATATTTAAAAGTCTTATAACTTTTTATTTTTGTCCTCACTGGCCTCCATGTTTTCTAGGATGATGCAATGTCCAGCCATCAACACATTTGTGAAGGAGTTTTTTCTCTTTAAAAGAGCGCCCCCCATGGCAGGAGAATAAAGTCAAGTTTTTCCTGTTCATCATTCAATGGCTCAAACGCACTGCTCTCTCGGCAAAAGCGAAAGGAGGAGCAACTTGCCATTTGGATATATCTTAGCTGTGTTTGTGCCCTCACTCATGGTCCAGACTTTTTTCAAATAGGACATGGAGTTTTTCTGCAGCAAGCGTTTTGGTAGAAACTGCGCCTCCCATTCATTATAATGGTAAATGACCACAAACAAGTGCGCACACCATCTTTGGACCTTGAGTGTGACGCGATCGGGTGGGGGAGGCGGTCGCGCTGGGGGCGGCGTGACACGGCTCGGGCCCGCCAGTGCCCCAACGGGGCCCTAGTTTGTTATTATTATTATTTTTCCTCCCCTTTGAACTGGAAAATGGCCCACTTCCCACTGGCGAAAACTCATGAAATTTGGCAGGACGACCGGGCCTGGTGAAAAATTTGATATTCCGAAGTCGCCCAAACAAGAAAATGCAAAATGGCTCCATAGCGCCCCCTAAGGTGAAAATTCACACTATTCACTGTCACGCCTGTACGCTTTGTCAAAATGACACAAAAATTGACACACACATGTATCTCAGTAAGATCTACAAAAAAGTCAGTGCGGGCGTATCTGTCAAATGTACGGTTAAAGGGTTATTTCGCATTTTTTGCCGATCCGCACACATTGGAATTTCGCTAACTCCTCCGAAGGCTTTCGTTCCACCGGCACCACATTTGCTCAGGCCAATCTACACCCCATGGCCATTAAAAGTTATTCAAATCATGACGCTGCACCCCACGGTTTAGGTTCTAGGGGGCGCCAAAAATAACCCTAAAATCGATATATTTAAAAGTCTTATAACTTTTTATTTTTGCCCTCACTGGCCTCCAAGTTTTCTAGGATGATGCAATGTCCAGCCATCAACACATTTGTGAAGGAATTTTTACTCCCCAAAAGAGCCCCCCCCATGGCAGGAGAAAAAAGTCAATTTTTTCTTGTCCCCTAAGGTGAAAATACACATTGTTGAGTGTAACACCTGTACGCTTTGGCAAAATGACACAAAAATTGACACACACATGTATCTCAATAAGATCTACGAAAAAGTCAATGCGCGCGTATCTGTCAAATGTACGGTTAAAGGGTTATTCTGCATTTTTTGCCGATCCGCACACATTGGAATTTCGCTAACTCCTCCGAAGGCTTTCGTTCCACCGGCACCACATTTGCTCAGGCCAATCTACACCCCATGGCCATTAAAAGTTATTCAAATCATGACGCTGCATCCCACGGTTTAGGTTCTAGGGGGCGCCAAAGATAACCCTAAAATCCACATATTTAAAAGTCTTATAACTTTTTATTTTTGTCCTCACTGGCCTCCAAGTTTTCTAGGATGATGCAATGTCCAGCCATCAACACATTTGTGAAGGAATTTTTACTCCCCAAAAGAGCGCCCCCCCATGGCAGGAGAAAAAAGTCATTTTTTTCTTGTCCCCTAAGGTGGAAATTCACACTATTGACTGTCACGCCTGTACGCTTTATCATATTGACACAAAAATTGACACACCTATGTATCTCAATTAGATCTATAAAAAAGTCAATTCGCGCGTATCTGTCAAATGTACGGTTTAAGGGCTATTTTTCATTTTTTGCCGATTCGCACACATTGGAATGTGGCTAACTCCTCCTAAGGCTTTCGTCCCTCTGACACCAAATTTGCTCAGGCCAATCTACACCCCATGGCCATTCAAAGTTGTAAAAATCATGACGCTGCACCCCACGGTTTACGTTCTAGGGGGCGCCAAAAATGACCCAAAAATCCACATTCTTAAAAGAATCCACATCCCCCCCCCTATGGCAGGAGAAAAAGTCAAGTTTTTCCTGCCCATCGCTCAATGGCTCAATCGCATCGCTCTCCAGGCAACACCGTAAGGAGGAGCAACCTGGCATTTCGATATATCATAGCTGTGTTTGTGCCCTCACTCATGGTCCAGACTTTTTTCAAATAGGACATGAAGTTTGTCTGCAGCGAGTGTTTTGGTAGAAACTGCGCCTCCCATTCATTATAATGGGAAATGACCACAGACAAGTGCGCACACCATCTTTGGTTCTTGAGTGTGACTCGATCGGGACGGGGAGGCGGTCGCACTGGGGGCGGCGCGACGCGGCTCGGGCCCGACAGTGCCCCATCGGGGCCCTAGTGATAAATTATGTCCGCGATACTTTTTTTCTGCTTATTTTGATCACGTTCGGCGCTCGATCGCGCTGTATGAGACAGGAAAACATAGCATGCAGACATTAGCGACAGCTCTTACAGGCGGAAAAGGCTTGCCAAAAGAAAAAAAAAACACACCACAACATCTCTCCTATTGGTGGAAAACTTCACCACAACAACCAATCCAAAATTATATGGTGACTGATTGACAAGGGGCGGGCGCTTACGTTCTTCCTGCAACATGAGAAGGGAGGGAGGGACTCTCAGCAGGGATGCAGTCTGGGACACGTAGTTGCAAACCTAGCGACTTTGTTGTTAGATTCAATGACTTTTCAGACCCCCTAACGATTTTTTTTTAGAAAGAAAGGGACTTTTATCGACTTCTTCTGGAGTTTAGAGACTCTGACATGAAGCAGGCTTTCCTTACTGAGGAGTTAGCAACGCTGCTAAGGGTGCAGAGCCACACATGCGCTCCGAGCTCTGCATGGGAGACTGAAGCTGACAGAGCTGCAGCAGTTAGCAGGTTTCACCCTCAGAGACCACCAGGGGTTCATGTTGAGGCATTTTAATTTTTTTTTTTTTTGTGCCATAGACACTGTCAGCACAATCTGCAGTTACACTAACAAAAATGCTGCAAAAAACAAAGAATTATGGAAAAATTACACATGGACTGACATAGAGGAGGATCTACACAAGTTTTTTACATCATGTTTTACATCATGCATCATTTACATCATGTTTTTTTTTGTAGTGGCATAAATAAAAAGTGACATTTGTGAGACTATACAGTGTTTTGTAAATAATTTTACAAAGAACGCCTGGGCCATTGCCTGCATTTTGATGTAAATAGAGGTAAATCACTATGTTCTTTGTTAAAAATTTGCATATGTTTTGAAGTTTACAATTTTTATTTGAAGTTTAAGTTTTAAAAACAGTTCATCACACATATTTGTGGTTTTCACAGTAAAAATGTTACTTTTTTCCACTCGGATTTTATGTTTTGTGTGTGAATTTGGGTCCATTGTGTAAATTCAGTATGTCAACATGATAAAATAACTGTAAATTCGCACAGGTGAGGTTGTGCTGAAAAAAATGATACCAGGCAAGGCACGTGATTGTCAAATTTTGTGTCAATATGACAAAGCGTATAGGCGTGAATCTCAACAATATGTATTTTCACCTTAGGTGACAAGAAAAAATGGACTTTTTTCTCCTGCCATGGGGGGGCGCTCTTTTGGGGAGTAAAAATTCCTTCACAAATGTGTTGATGGCTGGACATTGCATCATCCTAGAAAACTTGGAGGCCAGTGAGGACAAAAATAAAAAGTTATAAGACTTTTAAATATGTGGATTTTAGGGTTGTCTTTGGCGCCCCCTAGAACCTAAACCGTGGGGTGCAGCGTCATGATTTTGATAACTTTTAATGGCCATGGGGTGTAGATTGGCCTGAGCAAATGTGGTGCCGGTGGAACGAAAGCCTTAGGAGGAGTTAGCCACATTCCAATGTGTGCGGATCGGCAAAAAATGCGGAATAACCCTTTAACCGTACATTTGACAGATACGCGCGCATTGACTTTTTCGTAGATCTTATTGAGTTACATGTGTGTGTCAATTTTTGTGTCATTTTGACAAAGCGTATAGGCGTGACACTCAACAATGTGTATTTTCACCTTAGGGGACAAGAAAAAATGGACTTTTTTCTCCTGCCATGGGGGGGGCGCTCTTTTGGGGAGTAAAAATTCCTTCACAAATGTGTTGATGGCTGGACATTGCATCATCCTAGAAAACTTGGAGGCCAGTGAGGACAAAAATAAAAAGTTATACGACTTTTAAGAATGTGGATTTCTGGGTTATCTTTGGCGCCCCCTAGAACGTAAACCGTGGGATGCAGCGTCATGATTTGTACAACTTTTAATGGCCATGGGGTGTAGATTGGCCTGAGCAAATTTGGTGCCGGTGGAACGAAAGCCTTCGGAGGAGTTAGCGAAATTCCAATGTGTGCGGATCGGCAAAAAATGCGAAATAGCCCTTTAACCGTACATTTGACAGATACGCCCGCACTGACTTTTTTGTAGATCTTATTGAGATACACGTGTGTGTCAAATTTTGTGTCATTTTGACAAAGCGTACAGGCGTGACACTCAATCATGTGAATTTTTCACCTTAGGGGGCGCTATGGAGCCATTTTGCATTTGATTTTTTGGGCGACTTCAGAATATCGAATTTTTCACCAGGCCCGGTCGTCCTGCCAAATTTCATGACTTTTCACCAGTGGGAAGTGGGCCATTTTCCAGTTCAAAGGGGCAGAAAAATAATAATAAGAAGAAGAAGAACTAGGGCCCCGTTGGGGCACTGGCGGGCCCGAGCCGTGTCGCGCCACCCCCAGCGCGACCGCCTACCCCTCCCGATCGCGTCACACTCAAGGTCCAAAGATGGTGTGCGCACTTGTCTGTGGTCATTTACCATTATAATGAATGGGAGGCGCAGTTTCTACCAAAACGCTCGCTTCAGACAAACTCCATGTCCTTTTTGAAAAAAGTCTGGACCATGAGTGAGGGCACAAACACAGCTAGTATATATCCAAATGGCAAGTTGCTCCTCCTTTCGGTTTTGCCGAGAGAGCGATGCGTTTGAGCCATTGAGCGATGGGCAGGAAAAACTTGACTTTTTCTCCTGCCATGGGGGGGCGCTCTTTTGGGGAGAAAAAATTCCTTCACAAATGTGTTGATGGCTGGACATTGCATCATCCTAGAAAACTTGGAGGCCAGTGAGGACAAAAATAAAAAGTTATAAGACTTTTAAAAATGTGGATATTTGGGTCCTCTTTGGCGCCCCCTAGAACGTAAACTGTGGGGTGCAGCGTCATGATTTGTACAACTTTGAATGGCCATGGGGTGTAGATTGGCCTGAGCAAATTTGGTGCCGGTGGAAAGATAGCCTTCGGAGGAGTTAGCGAAATTCCAATGTGTGCGGATCGGCAAAAAATGCAAAATAGCCCTTTAACCGTACATTTGACAGATACACGCCCTTTGACTTTTTCATAGATCTTATTGAGATACACGTGATTGTCAAATTTTGTGTCAATATGACAAAGCATACTGGCGTGACACTCGATGATGTGTATTTTCACCTTAGGAGACAAGAAAAAATGGACCTTTTTCTCCTGCCATTGGGGGGCGCTCTTTTGGGGAGTAAAAATTCCTTCACAAATGTGTTGATGGCTGGACATTGCATCATCCTAGAAAACTTGGAGGCCAGTGAGGACAAAAGTAAAAAGTTATAAGACTTTTAAGAATGTGGATTTTTGGGTTATCTTTGGCGCCCCCTAGAACGTAAACCGTGGGGTGCAGCGTCATGATTTGTACAACTTTTAATGGCCATGGGGGGTAGATTGGCCTGCGCAAATGTGGTGCCGGTCGAACGAAAGCCTTCGGAGGAGTTAGCGAAATTCCAATGTGTGCAGATCTGCAAAAAATGCAAAATAACCCATTAACCGTACATTTGACAGATACGCCCGCACTGACTTTTTTGTAGATCTTATTGAGATACATGTGTGTGTCAATTTTTGTGTCAATATGACAAAGCATACAGCCGTCATGTGAATTTTCACCTTAGGGGGCGCTATGGAGCCATTTTGCATTTTATTGTTTGGGCGACTTCAGAATATCGAATTTTTCACCAGGCCCGGTCGTCCTGCCAAATTTCCTGAGTTTTCGCCAGTGGGAAGTGGGCCATTTTCCAGTTTGAAGCGGAGGAAAAATAATAACGAAAGAAGGAAACATGCAGGAACAAGAGGGCTCTCGCAGCTGCTTAGCAGCTACGCTCGGGCCCTAAAGAAGAATCCATCAGGAATAATAGGGCTCTCGCAGCTGCTTAGCAGCTACGCTCGGGCCCTAATAACTAGGACCCCGTTGGGGCACTGGCGGGCCCGAGCTGTGTCGCGTCCCCGCCCCCAACGCGCTGCCTCCCCGTCCCATTTGTGTCCTCTGGCCATCGCCTTCTCTGGTAACGCCCATCACTGCAAAGACCCTTTTCCTTCATCGGCGTTTGCTGTTCTTCCTGCCAGTGCGTGTTGCTTTCACTTACACTTGCCACAGCCAGCCTCGTGAGTGCCTAGCCTATTGGATATCACTGTCACCTACACAGGACAGTCATTACCTTTCTATTAATACTTTGTTTTTTAATTTCACATTAATTTCCATATTGTATAAACAACTGGAAAAAACTTGAGCCCCTGCCCCTGTATAATCATGTGCACGTCTCTGTTCTAGCTCTAAGGTGAATCTTCACTGCTCATGTTCTCCTCAGAAGCAGTCACCTCACTCCCCTCAGGTTACTGTACACATGCACCAACTGCCTGCTTCAGGTTTGGATGGAGCTTCATGGTTGTCTTTTGGAGAAATGACCAGTCAAGTTGTGTTTGAAATTTGATTTTTTTCAGGGGCAAAAGGAGCCTCTGCATTCTTGTCAAATATGTAAATAGCATGTTTTTGCAGGTGCTAAAAACCAGACTCTGAGTGTGTGTGTGTGCGTGTGTGTGTGTGTCTGTGTGTGTGTGTGTGTGTGTGTGCGTTCAAGTCACATGACATATTTAACCGGATGTAGCTGCAAGACGGAGCCTCGTTGACTCTCCGTTTCAACTTATCTCAAAAGTGAGGACCTCAACATATATACCAGTTTTTAAATTGTGTTGATAGGCCAAATAAAACCAGAGTTATGATAAATTATGTCCGCGATACTTGTTTTCTGCTTATTTTGATCACGTTCGGCGCTCGATCGCGCTGTATGAGACAGGAAAACATAGCATGCAGACATTAGCGACAGGTCTTACAGGCGGAAAAGGCTTGCCAAAGGAAAAAAAAAACACACCACAACATCTCTCCTATTGGTGGAAAACTTCACCACAACAACCAATCCAAAATTATATGGTGACTGATTGACAAGGGGCGGGAACTTACGTTCTTCCTGCAATATGAGAAGGGAGAGAGGGACTCTCAGCAGGGATGCAGTCTGGGACATGTAGTTGCAAACCTAGCGACTTTGTTGTTAGATTCAATGACTTTTCAGACCCCCTAACGACTTTTTTTAGAAAGAAAGTGACTTTTATCGACTTCTTCTGGAGTTTAGAGACTCTGACATGAAGCAGGCTTTCCTTACTGAGGAGTTAGCAACGCTGCTAAGGGTGCAGAGCCACACATGCGCTCCGAGCTCTGCATGGGAGACTGAAGCTGACAGAGCTGCAGCAGTTAGCAGGTTTCACCCTCAGAGACCACCAGGGGTTCATGTTGAGGCATTTTCAGTTTTTTTTTTTTTTTTTTTTTGCCATAGACACTGTCAGCACAATCTGCAGTTACACTAACAAAAATGCTGCAAAAAACAAAGAATTATGGAAAAATTACACATGGACTAACATAGAGGAGGATCTACACAAGTTTTTTACATCATGTTTTACATCATGCATCATTTACATCATGTTTTTTTGTAGTGGCATAAATAAAAAGTGACATTTGTGAGACTATACAGTGTTTTGTAAATAATTTTACAAAGAACACCTGGGCCATTGCCTGCATTTTGATGTCAATAGAGGTAAATTACTATGTTCTTTGTTAAAAATTTGCATATGTTTTGAAGTTTACAATTTTTATTTGAAGTTTAAGTTTTAAAAACAGTTCATCACACATATTTGTGGTTTTCACAGTAAAAACGTTACTTTTTTCCACTCGGATTTTATGTTTTGTGTGTGAATTTGGGTCCAATGTGTAAATATAGTATGTCAAAATGATAAAATAACTGTAAATTGACACAGGTGAGGTTGTGCTGAAAAAAATGATACCAGGCAAGGCAAGGTAAAAATTTTGTAAGAGGAAATATAAAGGTAAAATCTAAAGTAGTCAAAAACGGCCAATAGTGACCCACAGACTCCACAGACAAGTCCCTTTGGCGCCACTCAGTGGGCAAAACTACTTTGTCTACTGTAATGTATATTTGGGTCATCTTTGGCGCCCCCTAAAACGTAAACCGTGGGGTGCAGCGTCATGATTTTTACAACTTTGAATGGCCATGGAGTGTAGATTGGCCTGAGCAAATTTGGTGTCAGTGGGACGAAAGCCTTAGGAGGAGTTAGCAAAATTCCAATGTGTGCGAATCGGCAAAAAATGCAAAATAGCCCTTTTACCGTACATTATACAGATAGGCGCTCTTTGTCTTTTTCGTGGATCTAATTGAGATACACATGATTGTCAATTTTTGTGTCATTTTGCCAAAGCGTACAGGCGTGACAGTCAACAATGTGTATTTTCACCTTAGGGGACAAGAAAAAATGGACTTTTTTCTCCTGCCATGGGGGGGCGCTCTTTTAGGGAGTAAAAATTCCTTCACAAATGTGTTGATGGCTGGACATTGCATCATCCTAGAAAACTTGGAGGCCAGTGAGGACAAAAATAAAAAGTTATAAGACTTTTAAAAATGTGGATTTTTGGGTTATCTTTGGCGCCCCCTAGAACGTAAACCGTGGGGTGCAGCGTCATGATTTGAATAACTTTTAATGGCCATGGGGTGTAATTTGGCCTGAGCAAATGTGGTGCCGGTGGAACGAAAGCCTTCGGAGGAGTTAGCGAAATTCCAATGTGTGCGAATCGGCAAAAAATGCGAAATAACCCTTTAACCGTACATTTGACAGATACGCGCTCAGGACTTTTTTGTAGATCTTATTGAGATACATGTGTGTGTCAATTTTTGTGTCATTTTGACAAAGCGTACAGGCGTGACACTCAACAATGTGTATTTTCACCTTAGGGGACAAGAAAAAATGGACTTTTTTCTCCTGCCATGGGGGGGCGCTCTTTTGGGGAGTAAAAATTCCTTCACAAATGTGTTGATGGCTGGACATTGCATCATCCTAGAAAACTTGGAGGCCAGTGAGGGCAAAAATAAAAAGTTATAAGACTTTTAAATATGTGGATTTTAGGGTTATCTTTGGCGCCCCCTAGAACCTAAACCGTGGGGTGCAGCGTCATGATTTGAATAACTTTTAATGGCCATGGGGTGTAGATTGGCCTGAGCAAATGTGGTGCCGGTGGAACGAAAGCCTTCGGAGGAGTTAGCGAAATTCCAATGTGTGCGGATCGGCAAAAAATGCGAAATAACCCTTTAACCGTACATTTGACAGATACGCCCGCACTGACTTTTTCGTAGATCTTATTGAGATACATGTGTGTGTCAATTTTTGTGTCATTTTGACAAAGCGTACAGGCGTGACAGTCAATAGTGTGAATTTTCACCTTAGGGGGCGCTATGGAGCCATTTTGCATTTTCTTGTTTGGGCGACTTCGGAATATCAAATTTTTCACCAGGCCCGGTCGTCCTGCCAAATTTCATGAGTTTTCGCCAGTGGGAAGTGGGCCATTTTCCAGTTCAAAGGGGAGGAAAAAGAAAAAAGAAACAAAGAAAAACCACTTGGGGAATAATAGGGCTCTCGCAGCTGCTTAGCAGCTACGCTCGGGCCCTAACTAGGGCCCCGTTGGGGCACTGGCGGGCCCGAGCCGTGTCGCGCCGCCCCCAGCGTGACCGCCTACCCCTCCCGATCGCGTCACACTCAAGGTCCAAAGATGGTGTGCGCACTTGTCTGTGGTTATTTACCATTATAATGAATGGGAGGCGCAGTTTCTACCAAAACGCTCGCTGCAGACAAACTCCATGTCCTATTTGAAAAAAGTCTGGAAAATGAGTGAAGGCCCAAACACAGCTAAGATATATCGGAATGGCAAATTGCTCCTCCTTTCGGTTTTGCGGAGAGAGCGATGCGTTTAAGCCATTGAGCGATGGGCAGGAACAACTTGACTTTTTCTCCGGCCATGGGGGGGGCGCTCTTTTGGGGAGTAAAAATTCCTTCACAATTGTGTTGATGGCTGAACATTGCATTATCCTAGAAAACTTGGAGGCCAGTGAGGACAAAAATAAAAAGTTATAAGACTTTTAAGACTGTGGATTTTTGGGTTATCTTTGGCGCCCCCTAGAACCTAAACCGTGGGGTGCAGCGTCATGATTTGTACAACTTTTAATGGCCATGGGGTGTAGATTGGCCTGAGCAAATGTGGTGCCGGTGGAACGAAAGCCTTAGGAGGAGTTAGCCACATTCCAATGTGTGCGGATCGGCAAAAAATGCGGAATAACCCTTTAACCGTACATTTGACAGATACGCGCGCATTGACTTTTTCGTAGATCTTATTGAGATACATGTGTGTGTCAATTTTTGTGTCATTTTGCCAAAGCGTACAGGCGTGACACTCAACAATTTGTATTTTCACCTTAGGGGACAAGAAAAAATGGACTTTTTTCTCCTGCCATGGGGGGGCGCTCTTTTGGGGAGTAAAAATTCCTTCACAAATGTGTTGATGGCTGGACATTGCATCATCCTAGAAAACCTGGAGGCCAGTGAGGACAAAAATAAAAAGTTATAAGACTTTTAAATATGTGGATTTTAGGGTTATCTTTGGCGCCCCCTAGAACCTAAACCGTGGGGTGCAGCGTCATGATTTGAATAACTATTAATGGCCATGGGGTGTAGATTGGCCTGAGCAAATGTGGTGCCGGTGGAACGAAAGCCTTCGGAGGAGTTAGCGAAATTCCAATGTGTGCGAATCAGCAAAAAATGCGAAATAACCCTTTAACCGTACATTTGACAGATACGCCCGCACTGACTTTTTTGTAGATCTTATTGAGATACATGTGTGTCTCAATTTTGGTGTCATTTTGACAAAGCGTACAGGCGTGACAGTCAATAGTGTGAATTTTCACCTTAGGGGGCACTATGGAGCCATTTTGCATTTTATTGTTTGGGCGACTTCAGAATATCGAATTTTTCACCAGGCCCGGTCGTCCTGCCAAATTTCATGAGTTTTCGCCAGTGGGAAGTGGGCCATTTTCCAGTTTAAAGCGGAGGAAAAATAATAATAATAACAAACTAGGGCCCCGGTGGGGCACTGTCGGGCCGGAGCCGCGTCGCGCCGCCCCCAGCGCGACCGCCTCCCCCTCCCGATCGCATCACACTCAAGGTCCAAAGATGGTGTGCGCACTTGTCTGTGGTCATTTCCCATTATAATGAATGGGAGGCGCAGTTTCTACCAAAACACTCGCTGCAGACAAACTACATGTCCTATTTGAAAAAAGTCTGGACCATGAGTGAGGGCACAAACACAGCTAGGATATATCCAAATGGCAAGTTGCTCCTCCTTACGGTGTTGCCAGGAGAGCGATGCGATTGAGCCATTGAGCGATGGGCAGGGTTAACTGGACTTTTTCTCCTGCCTTGGGGGGGGGGGGGGGGGATTCTTTTAAGAATGTGGATATTTGGGTCATCTTTGGCGCCCCCTAGAACGTAAACCATGGGGTGCAGCGGCATGATTTTTACAACTTTGAATGGCCATGGGATGTAGATCGGCTTGAGCAAATTTGGTGTCGGTGGGAAGAAAGCCTTAGGAGGAGTTAGCCACATTGCAATGTGTGCGAATCGGCAAAAAATGCGAAATAGCCCTTTAACCGTACATTTTACAGATACGTGCCCATTGACTTTTTCGTAGATCTTATTGAGATACACGTGTGTGTCAAATTTTGTGTCATTTTGACAAAGCGTATAGGCGTGACAGTCAACAATGTGTTTTTTCACCTTAGGGGACAAGAAAAAATGGACTTTTTTCTCGTGCCATGGGGGGGCGCTCTTTTCAGGAGTAAAAATTCCTTTACAAATGTGTTGATGGCTGGACATTGCATCATCCTAGAAAACTTGGAGGCCAGTGAGGACAAAAATAAAAAGTTATAAGACTATTAAGAATGTGGATTTTTGGGTTATCTTTGGCGCCCCCTAGAACCTAAACCGTGGAGTGCAGCGTCATGATTTGTACAACTTTTAATGGCCATGGGGTGTAGATTGGCCTGAGCAAATTTGGTGGCGGTGGAACTAAAGCCTTTGGAGGAGTTAGCGAAATTCCAATGTGTGCGGATCGGGAAAAAATGCGAAATAACCCTTTAACCGTACATTTTACAGATTTGTGCCCATTGACTTTTTCGTAGATCTTATTGAGATACACGTGATTGTCAAATTTTGGGTCAATATGACAAAGCGTATAGGCGTGACACTCAACAATGTGTATTTTCACCTTAGGGGACAAGAAAAAATGGACTTTTTTCTCCTGCCATGTGGGGGCGCTCTTTTGGGGAGTAAAAATTCCTTCACAAATGTGTTGATGGCTGGACATTGCATCATCCTAGAGAACTTGGAGGCCAGTAAGGACAAAAATAAAAAGTTATAAGACTTTTAAGACTGTGGATTTTTGGGTTATCTTTGGCGCCCCCTAGAACGTAAACCGTGGGGTGCAGCGTCATGATTTGTACAACTTTTAATGGCCATGGGGTGTAGATTGGCCTGAGCAAATTTGTTGCCGGTGGAACGAATGCCTTTGGAGGAGTTAGCGAAATTCCAATGTGTGCAGATCGGCAAAAAATGCGAAATAACCCTCTAACCGTACATTTCACAGATGCGCCCGCGCTGACTTTTTCGTAGACCGTATTGAGATACACGTGTGTGTCAATTTTTGTGTCAATATGACAAAGCGTACAGGCGTGACAGTCAATAGTGTGAATTTTCGCCTTAGGGGGCGCTATGGAGCCATTTTGCATTTTATTGTTTGGGCGACTTCAGAATATCGAATTTTTCACCAGGCCCGGTCGTCCTGCCAAATTTCATGAGTTTTCGCCAGTGGGAAGTGGGCCACTTTCCCCTTCAAAGGGGAGGAAAAATAAGAAGAAAGAAAGAAAGAAAGAAAGAAAGAAAGAAGAAAGAAAAACCTATACAGGAATAATAGGGCTCTACGCCCGGCTGCTCTGCAGCTGGCTCGGGCCCTAAAGAAGAATCCATCAGGAACAAGAGGGCTCTCGCAGCTGCTTAGCAGCTACGCTCGGGCCCTAAAGAAAGAAAAACCTATACAGGAATAATAGGGCTCTACGCCCGGCTGCTCTGCAGCTGTCTCGGGCCCTAAGAAAGAAAGAAACAAAGACTAGGGCCCCGTTGGGGCACTGGCGGGCCCGAGCCGTGTCGCGCCGCCCCCAGCGTGACCGCCTACCCCTCCCGATCGCGTCACACTCAAGGTCCAAAGATGGTGTGCGCACTTGTCTGTGGTCATTTACCATTATAATAAATGGGAGGCGCAGTTTCTACCAAAACGCTCGCTGCAGACAAACTCCATGTCCTTTTTGAAAAAAGTCTGGACCATGAGTGAGGGCACAAACACAGCTAGTATATATCCAAATGGCAAGTTGCTCCTCCTTTCGGTTTTGCCGAGAGAGCGATGCGTTTGAGCCATTGAGCGATGGGCAGGAAAAACTTGACTTTTTCTCCTGCCATGGGGGGCGCTCTTTTGGGGAGAAAAATTCCTTCACAAATGTGTTGATGGCTGGACATTGCATCATCCTAGAAAACTTGGAGGCCAGTGAGGACAAAAATAAAAAGTTATAAGACTTTTAAAAATGTGGATATTTGGGTCCTCTTTGGCGCCCCCTAGAACGTAAACTGTGGGGTGCAGCGTCATGATTTGTACAACTTTGAATGGCCATGGGGTGTAGATTGACCTGAGCAAATGTGGTGCCGGTGGAACGAAAGCCTTCGGAGGAGTTAGCGAAATTCCAATGTGTGCGGATCGGCAAAAAATGCGAAATAACCCTTTAACCGTACATTTGACAGACACGCCCGCGCTGACTTTTTTGTAGATCTTATTGAGATACATGTGTGTGTCAATTTTTGTGTCAAAATGACAAAGCGTGACAGTCAATAGTGTGAATTTTCACCTTAGGGGGCGCTATGGAGCCATTTTGCATTTTATTGTTTGGGCGACTTCAGAATATCGAATTTTTCACCAGGCCCGGTCGTCCTGTCAAATTTCATGAGTTTTCGCCAGTGGGAAGTGGGCCATTTTCCCCTTCAAAGGGGATGAAAAATAAGAAGAAAGAAAGAAAGAAAGAAAGAAGAAAGAAAAACTCATCAGGAACAACAGGGCTCTCGCAGCTGCTTAGCAGCTACGCTCGGGCCCTAATAACAAAAGAAGGAAACATGCAGGAACAAGAGGGCTCTCGCAGCTGCTTAGCAGCTACGCTCGGGCCCTAAAAACCACTTGGGGAATAATTGGGCTCTCGCAGCTGCTTAGCAGCTACGCTCGGGCCCTAAGAAAGAAAGAAAGAAACAAAGAAAAACCACTTGGGGAATAATTGGGCTCTCGCAGCTGCTTAGCAGCTACGCTCGGGCCCTAATAACAAAAGAAGAATCCATCAGGAACAAGAGGGCTCTCGCAGCTGCTTAGCAGCTACGCTCGGGCCCTAACAAAAGAAGGAAACATGCAGGAACAAGAGGGCTCTCGCAGCTGCTTAGCAGCTACGCTCGGGCCCTAATAAGTATACTCTAGGACAGATATAGCTCTAAGCTGGACTAGAGCTTGGACAAATATTGTTATATACATTGTATTCATGCATGTAGACCTATATATTTTTATTATTATTATTATCTAATAAGACTCCATTATTTTATTTATTATTGTTGTTTTTGGCTATCTCTTGGAACTTTTTTTTTTCAATACATGTTTTAATTGTATGTGGATATTCTTAGTTTACAAAAAACTAACTTATGTCTTGCTCCAAACATGGCTATGTTTGCCCACTAGATACTGTTAATGTGTGCTGTTTGTGAAATGTAAAATATTGTAAAGCTAGTACAATAATGTGAAATTATGTTTGATTTTTCCAGGTGCAACTGAAAAGAGACTTTCTTGAGAGGCTCCACTATAAAGTGTCACAGGTTTTGCAAAGACTGCCTCTAGATGTGGACTATTTGAGATTAGTAGTCAACCAGGAGATGGTTATTTTTAGATCATTGTTAGGCCAGGTTGAGATGCCACAGGATGTCATCAACACTTTCACTCTACTGTCAACCCTTCTCAATATACAGGATAACACTAATAAGACCCAGAGTCAGGTGCCAGTGTTACAAGGAGAGATGGGATGGCCAAAATATGATGTGTGTCCTCAGGAACTACATGGCCTGATAGAAATGTCCTTACCAGTGTCATGCATTGCAGGAATTCTAGCTGTATCTAAAAGCAAAGTGAAGCGCTGCATGCATGATAATGGTCTATCCATAACCCGAAACATAAGCAATGAACAACTAGACCATTTGGTGAGATCAGTGAAGGCCAGAACACCACACGTGGGATATAGAATGATGAAAGGATTCCTTCAGGCCATGGGACACCGTGTCCAGTGGAAGAGAGTGTCTGCATCCATGCATCATGTAGACCCACTTGGGGTACTCTCAAGATTGACAAATATGGAGTGTGTTGCAAGGAGGACATATTCTGTTCCAGGTCCTCTTCATCTGGTACATATCGACACAAACCACAAACTTATCAGGCATGTAATAACTACATGCTATTTTAGATGTTTATTTTGGTGTATTTGTTATTCCCTAAGAAAGGTTGACACCCTTGTTTCAAACAACTCGATACAGATTTTATTCTTTCTCTCTCTTTTTCTCTCTCCCCCACCAAAAACAAAAACAAAAAGGTATGGCCTTGTTATCTTTGGAGGGGTTGATGGCTTCTCACGAAAGGTAATTTATTCAATGAACATTAATAAAACATTTACTGAGAAGACAGTTGAAAAGTATACAGTAGGTCCTCTGCTAAACTTGCTTATAGAGGGTATGCACATGCATAAAGTGAATGGCAAATCGAGTGGCTATCTGGGTTTAATGTTGTTTATTGTGATCAGATAGGACTTTTCTGTTTGGATTTATGCTCTGTAAGGGCCAGAAGGCAGTTTTTTGCCACTCAGTAGGTGTTCCCGCATAATCTCCGTTCATGATGATGTCACACGCATACTCTCTATTGATAGGACATGACATTCTTATAGGAATGGGCCTATAGCACCTCTATACTGTCTTCTGTATCCGTGTTATACCAAATAATAAAATTATCTTGTGCATAAAAGCATGGATTAATATAGCTTCCCGCTGAATTATAATATTGTCTGTTTCAGATCATGTACCTGGGTGCAGCAGCCAACAATAAAGCTTCCACTGCACTTGATTTCTTCTTGGAGGCAGTGCATAAGTATGGCTTCCCGTTAAGGTCAGTTCAACAAATATGTGTGACCCACCATGCTAGTCAATGCCCAATGATTTGTGCATTTGCTAATGCTATCAGTTAATTGTCATTAAACTAAGTCGATAAATCGCCAAATTAAACAAATCTTATACTTAAGAAACATCATGTCTCCATCTGTCCGTGTAAGATTTTTTACGGTCTAAATGTTTTTCCCACCGACATCACGTTCTGACATCACTGTGATGTTAGAGGAACCAAACCAGCAGAATCCCTTTTATGCCCAGTATGGAGATCCATGATGTCATCAATATTAAGCCCATATCTAACAGGACTTCATATGGGAATGCCTACATATGGAGGCCACATCGGCCACATACCACACTAACAAAATCCATATACGGATATGGAGCCCTTAGGCTTCTTACTGCTTAAGAATGATTTGGTATTACCTTTGTCTAATGCCTGTCTGTTTTTGGAATTGGAAATGTGTTAAAGTTCAGTGTGAAAGTTAACAATCATTTATCTTTTTTCTTTGTGTGATATACACTCACCGGCCACTTTATTAGGTACACCTGTCCAACTGCTCGTTAACACTTAATTTCTAATCAGCCAATCACATGGGGGCAACTTACTGCATTTAGGCATGTAGACATGGTCAAGACAATCTCCTGCAGTTCAAACCGAGCATCAGTATGGGGAAGAAAGGTGATTTGAGTGACTTTGAACGTGGCATGGTTGTTGGTGCCAGAAGGGCTGGTCTGAGTATTTCAGAAACTGCTGATCTACTGGGATTTTCACGCACAACCATCTCTAGGGTTTACAGAAAATGGTCCGAAAAAGAAAAAATATCCAGTGAGCGGCAGTTCTGTGGGCGGAAATGCCTTGTTGATGCCAGAGGTCAGAGGAGAATGGCCAGACTGGTTCGAGCTGATAGAAAGGCAACAGTGACTCAAATAACCACCCGTTACAACCAAGGTAGGCAGAAGAGCCTCTCTGAACGCACAGTACGTCAAACTTTGAGGCAGATGGGCTACAGCAGCAGAAGACCACGCCGGGTGCCACTCCTTTCAGCTAAGAACAGGAAACTGAGGCTACAATTTGCACAAGCTCATCGAAATTGGACAATAGAAGATTGGAAAAACGTTGCCTGGTCTGATGAGTCTCGATTTCTGCTGCGACATTCGGATGATAGGGTCAGAATTAGGCATCAACAACATGAAAGCATGGATCCATCCTGCCTTGTATCAACGGTTCAGGCTGGTGGTGGTGGTGTCATGGTGTGGGGAATATTTTCTTGGCACTCTTTGGGCCCCTTGGTACCAATTGAGCATCGTTGCAACGCCACAGCCTACCTGAGTATTGTTGCTGACCATGTCCATCCCTTTATGACCACAATGTACCCAACTTCTGATGGCTACTTTCAGCAGGATAATGTGCCATGTCATAAAGCTGGAATCATCTCAGACTGGTTTCTTGAACATGACAATGAGTTCACTGTACTCAAATGGCCTCCACAGTCACCAGATCTCAATCCAATAGAGCATCTTTGGGATGTGGTGGAATGGGAGATTCGCATCATGGATGTGCAGCCGACAAATCTGCGGAACTGTGTGATGCCATCATGTCAATATGGACCAAGCTCTCTGAGGAAAGCTTCCAGCACCTTGTTGAATCTATGCCACGAAGAATTGAGGCAGTTCTGAAGGCAAAAGGGG